CTAACTCTTATCCAACCTTAGCTCTAATCCTATCCTAGCTCTTATCCTATACTATGACTTATTCTATACTTACCCTTATCCTATTCTAGCTCTTATCCTATTCTATCACTTATTCTATTCTAGTTCTTATCCTATCATTGTGAAATTGATTGTGTTTTGATAATGAACTTTTTTGTTTAGGTATGGGGTAAATACGGTAAAAACCTAAAAGACCTGGCTGTAGAAGAGAACAGAGAGAAAGCTGTTCAATGTTTAAATGAATTAATCACCAACACATTAGAATTGATACCAGACTGTATCAAATATATGTCCAGATTAAAAGATCAGAGTGTCTTTAATTTCTGTGCCATCCCACAGGTAAGTGACCTTTTTTATTTGTACCATAAACGATTGTAAAATTCTTATGTATATTGGGGATACTTATGGCATCAACAGGATCCTGTCTACCAGCTGGTCCTTGGCCGAATCTCTTGTCACTGGTCTGTCCTGGATTATCTGTACCCATTTACATCTGGGTTGACTGGAAAAATGAGGATCCTTTCTACCAGCTGGTCCTTGGCCAAACCTCTTGGCATTGATCTTTCCCTGATTATCTGTACCCATTTACAGCTGGGTTGACTGGAATAATGAGGACCCTTTCTACCAGCTGGTCCTTGGCCAAACCTCTTGGCATTGATCTTTCCCGGATTATCTGTACCAATTTACAGCTGTAATAAGTAGTGTTGATGACTATTTCAGGTGATGGCTATAGGAACATTAGAGAGATGTTACAACAATCCTAGAGTTTTCCAAGGAGTAGTGAAGATCAGAAAAGGGGAGGCTGTTAAAATGATGATGGGTTCAACCAGTTTAGAAAGAGTCAAGGCCATCATGAGTCATTTTACTAATGAAGTGAGTGGAACATTTCCTCAAAATTGATCATTAAAGAGATTGTAAAGAGGGTTTCTAAATTTTTTATGTGTATCAGGGACACTGATAGCATCAATTTCCACCATTCTAATTTTCAATCAGACCTCTGTGGTTCCTGCAATTCCACTAAAACTAAGTGTTTTATGACGTCACTAATCGCTAAATATGCTTTATATCATTGTGACTTCGTGATTAGTGACGTCATAAAACACTTGATGCTATCAGTGTCCCCGATACACATAAAAAATTTAGAAAACTTCTTTGATTAATCATGTTTAGTTAAGTCTTCAAGCAAAAAGGACCCAAGAAGAAGTAAAATAGGACGTAAAACTCCATTTCATTTCGTTTCATTTACATGGTATTTCATTTCATTTCATTCCATGGTATTTCATTTCATTTCATTCCATGATATTTCGTTTTGTTTCATTCTGTGGTATTTCATTTCGTTTCATTCCATGGTATTTCGTTTCATTTACATGGTATATCATTTCATTTACATGGTATTTCATTTCATTTACATGGTATTTCATTTCATTCCATGGTATTTTATTTCATTTACATGGTATATCATTTCATTTACATGGTATTTCATTTCATTTACATGGTATTTCATTTCATTCCATGGTATTTTATTTCATTTCGTTTCATTTCAGATATATAAAAGAATCCCATCCAAAGATCCATCAGCAAAGCGAACCAAAGAACTGTGTGAGAAAGCTTTAGCCGTGTGTGAAACCAAACAAGAGTATACCACCTCTAGTATATTTCCCCCATTGTACATGTCTTGTGCCTTATTACTCTCTGCCATCACGTATAAATATTGGTCCACGTTAGTTGTAATGTATAATAATACTATAACAGGAACGACAGACGATACGAGTTCTCAACTCTGAAAAGAAAATGAAATAGTGACTATTTGGAAACTAGAATATTTATTTTTTTAAATTTACTTCTTAATCCGGTGATCTGTTTCCGCTGGACTGTGATTAAAAATCGTAAACTTTAAGCAACTCTAAAAATTTGGATTGGGTTGGCAATACAGTCAGCATTTCAGCATTTGCTGACCATTCGGAAACCTGATATCCATATCAGACTAAATCAAGGATGCTGATAGCTAAATTAAGAGTGCTGATAGCTAAATCAAGGGTGCTGATAGCTAAATGAAGAATGCTGATAGCTAAATCAAGAATGATGATAGCTAAATCAAGAATGCTGATAGCTAAATCAGGGATGCTGATAGCTAAATCAAGAATGCTGATAGCAAAATCAAGAATGCTGATGGCAAAATCAAGAGTGCTGATAGCTAAATCCGGGATGCTGATAGCTAAATCAAGAATGCTGATAGCAAAATCAAGAATGCTGATGGCAAAATCAAGAGTGCTGATAGCTAAATCAAGGATGCTGATAGCTAAATCAAGAATGCTGATGCTAAATCAGGGATGCTGATAGCTAAATCAAGGATACTGATAGCTAAATGAAAAATGCTGATAGCAAAATCAAGGGTGCTGATAGCTAAATCAAGAATGCTGATAGCTAAATCAAGGATGCTGATAGCTAAATCAAGGATGATGTTGTCTAAATCAAGGGTACTGATAGCTAAATCAAGAATGCTGATAGCTAAATCAAGGATGCTGATAGCTAAATCAAGGATGATGTTGTCTAAATCAAGGGTACTGATAGCCAAATCAAGGATACTGATAGCTAAATTATGAATGCTGATAGCTAAATCAAGGATACTGATAGCTAAATCAAAGATTCTGATAGCTAAATCAAGGATGCTGATAGTGATAGCTAAATCAAGGATACTGATAGCTAAATCAAGGATGCTGATAGCTAAATCAAAGATGCTTATAACCAAAACTCATCCTTCCAGTAAGCTTACTCATTAGAGATCAAACTGAAAAAACAGAAAATCCAACGCTTGTACTAACAGTACTGGTACTAGAAAGTGGGTACCCCAAATCATTCCCCTAAAAATCCATCAAAAGAGTCGACCAGGGAAATGGAGACCAAACTATAAGAATTTTACAACCAGAGAAAACAGTCTTGCCTTTCAAATTAATATCATCTTCGGGTAAATATCTGCATGAGTTTCTTTCAAAAACATTCTGTTTGCTGTGTTGAAATGGGAACATTGGGGTACAGGGTCAAGGGACCTGGGACCAGGACAGATTGAATGCTTTCTCTTTCTGGAACACAGTCAGCATGTATAAGTGGAATAATATGCCAGGACCTTGGTGATAGCTGTGTCATAATACACTTAGTTTTAGTGGAATTGCAGGATCCACAGATGTCTGATTGAAAATTGGAATGATGTAAATTGATGCTACCTGTGTCCCTGATACACATAAAAAATTCAAAAACATTCTCTGTTAAATTATGTTACGTGTTTAAAAATGTTTTGTTAGTTATTTTTGTTAAGAAATTGTGAAAACAGTCTTTTTTTTCGTCAGGAAGTCAGGAAACCATCTTATACAGATTACAGAAAACCAGAAAGAAAACAGAATTTAAAGAGATTCTAAAGAGGTTTTCTAAATTTTTTATGTATATCAGGGACACTGATAGCATCAATTTACATCATTCCAATTTTCAATCAGACGTC